CAGCTGACCCCCCACCGGCCAGAAGTCGCATGCTTGCCTCTGCCTTCTCAGAGGCGCTAGAATTTGTCTCTGTTCTGTTTGTAATGCACACAGGACGGGGCTATTAATCATGCCACAGGCCAGGCTGCACAGCGCCTCCGGAATAATGAATTACCCAGCTCCTGCCAAAATGAGTCACACCACGGCCACGAAGGAAACTTATCTCTCCCCGACTCTCTCCCCATCTTGTTCCTCCCTCTTCCCTCTCTCATCTCCTGTGATCTGTCTTGCCAGTTGTAATTGGAACATTTTCTCTCGTATTTAAGTTCTGAAGTGTCTTTGGGACTTGCTAATGTATCCAAAGGCTTAAAACAAGTCCCGTCAAGGACGTTTATTGCTGTCTAGCACGGGCAGTTAAGCGTAGCTTACAAGCAGTTCTGGGTATATATGGCCAGGAATATAAATGTTCCTTTTGGAAAAGAAGAGAAGGAAAAGAAAGGGAAGGGAAGGGAAAGGAAAATATGGGGGAAAGAAGAAAGGAAAGGAAAGGAAAGGAAAGGAAAGGAAAGGAAAGGAAAGGAAAGGAAAGGAAAGGAAAGGAAAGGAAAGGAAAGGAAGAAGAAGAAAGAAAGAGAAAGAAAGAAAGAAAGAAAGAAAGAAAAGAAAGAAAGAAAGAAAGAAAAGGAAGGAAGGAGAGAAAGAAAGAAAGAAAGGAAAGAAGAGAAAGAAAGAAGAAAGAAAGAAAGAAAGAAAGAAAGAAAGAAAGAAAGAAAGAAAGAAAGAGGAGGGAGGAAGGAAGGAGAAAAGAAAAGAAAAAAGAAAAGAAAGACCCTAATGATGGTATCAAATGAGGGCTTAAAGAAGGTTCAATTTCTGGCCTGCCCATGAGAGGTTGTACAGGCCTTGGGATGATGTAACTTTGGTTTGAATGGGGCTGTTTTGGGTTTTTTTGGGGGGCGGGGTGGGGTGGGGAGCTGCCTAAGAGGAGACCTGAGATCATGTGTACTGAGTAAAAGAAGCATCTCCTCGCTGGCTTTTCCTGCTGCCTGTGGGCTAAAGCCAGGACCACCTCATAACTGGGACCCCTCCATTTGCCTACTGGCAGACTACGCTCCCTCACGCTATTGCTGTATACGTGTCACGCTAAGGAACGCTCTGGGCTGTACCCCGGTCCCCTACGTCCTCAGAAGGCTAGAGGCAGGCCGCCCGGAGTTGGTGTAGCGGCTCCCTGATGGACTCAGACCCCCGGGCCCTGCCATTCTAGCCTGTCACGGTGAATTTGTTGACGTACAGCCTCAAGGTTGACGAGCTGGATGCTGCAACTCTGGATCTGATGCTTTTATTCAAGGCAATGAGAAGTGGGAAAGGGTTGTCAAGACATCAGCTGTATTTGTCACTCGTATCGGGAAAAACAAAAGCTTTCCCCGAAGCTTCTGGAAGATGTTTGCCTGGGTCTTATTGGCCAGAACTACGTCACGTCCTTACCCGCCATCCTTGGCTGCAGGGGAGTCTGGATGAACACGCTCAGCGTCCCTATGCTCCGAGGTAGAGGCAGCAAGGGAATGAGGACTGAAGGTGCCTGTTGGGTCAGCCAGCAAACGGCATCTGCCACTAGCAGGGCCAGGGAAACCTGGGCCGGCGGGCGCAGTCCCACCTGACAACAGAGAGGGAGGAAATTCATGTTCCCGAGCTCACTGCATGCCCAAGAGCGTGCTCGGCGCCAGGCCTGCGGGAGTAAATTTTACCTAAAAGATGACTCCTCGGGTTTTTATGTTGGGATGACAGTTCAGAGAGAAGTGGTCCGGGCGGCGGGAGGCCCAGCTCTGCTCCAAACCTGGTGCTGAGCTGCGCTGTGGTCTTGCCTAAGTCGTTTCCCCTTGTGTGTGGAAGGTTGGAGATGCCCTACAAGGAGTCTAATAATCTTAGGATGCAGTTTTGCTCCTTTCCCTCAAGCATCTTCCATTCGTTTATTCACTCAACAGTTCTTTCCTAGGTGCCTACTGTGTCTAGGTGCTGCTTTCGGTACTTGGGACGTACCAGTGAACCGGGCAAAGATCCCTCCCTGCCCTTGGGGACCTTATGTTCTACTGTGTGTGTTGGGGGCAGGGGACACAAACAGTAGCAGCAAACAGTAGGAGCCGTGACGAGTAGTAACTTGCACAGGTGTTAGAGGGGATTCGTTCTCCGGAAGCCACACGTGGGCAAGGGGACAGGGTCTGGCCACGCCGGGGGACAATGCAGTGAGCCTCCCTGGGAACACGGCGTGTGAACAGAGGCCTCCTGGGCAGGGGGTGTCAGCCAGCACAGGCCTGGGGGAGTTGCTGCGGGCAGAGGGAAGAGCTAAGGCAAGGCCTCGGAGGCGGACCTTGCCTGGATTTTCGGAGCTGCTGCTTCCGCATCTGAGGATGGCCCCGGAGCCCCTCTCACCCCATCATTTCCTTTCAGAGGCCTTCAGTTGGCTTTCAGACCAGCTCAAACCCCCGGGAGTTGAAGGCCACTTACACTTGACCCTGCCATGGCCCTTAGGGACACAGAGCCTGGCAACCCCCTTTATATTTATTTGCACCCCATTTCACATTACAGAAACACTCGATTTCTGGGCATATAGGGAAAATGTAGAGCCCCCAAGTCCTAGAGATGTTGAAATCTTACCGAAATAGCACAACCCGCCATTTCCAGACTATTCTTGCTGGGCTTCCTGTTTAAAGCCTCCTGCACAGCGAGTGACTCAGTGTTTTTTGCCATGTTCTCAAATGACCGTCCCTGTTAATCAACCGTGAAGCCCCAGGTACGGGGTTGCTGTGCTTTTCAGCTTTACCAGTTAGTGCTCCTGAGCCATTGGTAATAGTGGACTGGGCCTTCCCCATTAGCTCCAGAGGAGCCTCGCTGAGCGAGGCCAGGAGCCTGCAGGCAAGCCCAGTCACTTGCTGGGCTCTGCAAACTGCGTGTGTGTGTGTGTGTGTGTGTGTGTGTGTGTGTGTGTGTGTAATGACAACTTTGAATAACGTCTTGAAATAGAACAAAGGGAAAGGCCTTCCTGAGTTGTGTCCTATGCAGAGAAGTGAGTTGGACTCTGAGAACAGTGGTATTGTGCAGGTGTGTTGTTGTCACAAGGTGATCTGAGAGCTTGTAACACACGAACAGATTGATGGGCTCATGAATTAAAAGAATCCCCCCACCTTGGTCCTAGAATGGGGTTAGTGTGTGTCCAGGCACCTGCTCTAAAGTAGAGTACACTTCAGGCAAGAGGCTAGACGACCTCCGTGTGCGTGCGAGCCTCCGTCCAAATACTGAGCAGGGCTGGCCATCGCTCGCGGCACACCGAGAAGTCTAGTTCTGGGTAATGGCTTGGCATGGACTTCATAGTCCCTTTTCCAGGTGTATCTCCTTTCTTGTGACCTTGACATTTGTTTGATGGGAATAGCAAGGAAACTTAACTTTGATCTCTGTCAATCCGAGTGAGGTGACAGGAGAGAATTTGGAATAACACACAAAGTGCAGGATATATTGAAAATGAGAGGAGGATGAGAGTCTTCCTCGAGTTGAATCCAGTTTCACGTTGTGTGTTCTTACCAAGCTGCTGGGACTGGGAAGCAGCAAGCATCCCTTCTGGGGTTTCCTAACCTGGTGTCCCCCTTCTACTTTGCTCCCTCCGATGCAGTACTTAGGGACTGAGCCATGCACACGGTGGAGGAGAAGCATGCTGGTGCAGGCAGAGATTGCACAGGCAGGGGGTAAAGACATGAGTCTAGAAAATTCTGACAAGAACATAAGAAAGAATACAAGGGTACCGGCTCTCTGTTTTACGTAATGTCTACTTGCAAGATAGAAGATATTGTTCACTCATTCAGCGAACATCTCCAGCACCGACCTCTGGGCCTGGCTCCGTCCTAGGCTCTGGAGATATATCAGCGAATGCCACCACCAGAACTTGCCCTGTCTCATCTTATTTGGTCCGACCACATGAAATTGCTGTTTTTGTGGGTCAAAACAACCCACTCACCAGGCACCTACTGTGCGATCCAGCCATTACACAAAAGAAAGAAAAGCATTTGTGTGCACAAAGGCTTGCACGTGAGCGTCGGTAGCAGCTTTATTTGCAGTGGCTCCGACTGGGAACACTCCCAATGCCCATCCACAGGTGAATGGATGAGCAAAGTGTGGCGAGTGTGTATCCACACGAGGGGCCCGCACTCGGCAATAAGAAGGATGAGGTGCTGCTACACACGGCAGCGGGCCTGGACTGTCATCCGCTGCGGTAGCCAAGGACACGGAATGACTGAATCTACAGAAAACTTCAAAAGATGCAAAGCAATCCGGAGTGTCACTACGGAGGCAGATTGGGGGGTGCCTCGGAACAGGGACTGGGGCGGGGGGAGAGGCGACGGAGGAGCAAGCGCAACCGTTTGGGGGTGCTGCATCTGTTGACACTGCTGGTTGTGAGGATGGTTCCATGGGCCGCGTACACGTCAAGACTTCTCAAGGGATACCCTTGAAACATGGGCAGTTAATTACATGATAATCCTACCTGAACAGCGTGATCCCGAGTCTGGGGATCGAGTCCCGCGTCGGGCTCCCTGCATGGAGCCTGCCTCTCCCTCTGCCTGTGTCTCTGCCTCTCTCTCTCTCATGAATAAATAAATAAAATCTTTTTTTTAAAAAAAAGGAAACATCATACCTGAATAAAAGTGTTAAAAACTGTCGAAAAATACCAATTGCACATGGTCCGATCAACAGATTCCTTTCGGCTGTACATTCATTGTTAAAACGTGAGATGCATGTTCCCCATATTTTCCGAAAAGCCACTGTGTATGAGACAATACCACGAAGGATGCTCCCCATGAGAAGTAAAAAGAAAAAAAATTTTAAAAAAATTTTAAAATAAAAGGCTCTCCTTGCTTTTTTTAAAGCTTCGTGGGTGAAATCGGTTGCTAAGGGAATGGCTTTCCTACAGGCCCTTCTGGAGCACTTAGCAGCTGCAGCAGGCTGCCCGCACTGACGCGTATGTGCATGTCTTTCAGAGTGACCTGTGGTCTCTGGGAATCACCGCGATCGAGATGGCAGAAGGCGCTCCCCGTAAGTACCTTCCCCCGGGGCGGGACCTACTGCTGGGCTGCTCCCTGCAGGGGACTGGGTGGGGGTGGGACCTGCTGCCGGGCTGCTCCCTGCAGGAGACCGGGTGGGACCTGCAGCCAGGCTGCTCCCTGCAGGGGACCGGGTGGGACCTGCAGCCAGGCTGCTCCCTGCAGGAGACCGGGTGGGACCTGCTGCCGGGCTGCTCCCTGCAGGGGACTGGGCCTTCCTTGCCAGGCGCCGGAGGAGCTTTCCTTCGGTTGCGCAGAGCCCGTGGGGGTGCGGCTGGCGTGCGTGGAAAGCGAAGTCCGCTTCCATCAACCAGGAATCCATTGATTTGGGAGCGCAGTCAGGATCTTGAGCTTAGAGGGGAAAAAGGAAAGAAAAGGCAAAAAGCACGTGGGGACTCTTGTGTGCTTCCCGGATTCCGGGTGTCATTTGTTCTTCAGCCGCTCTTGACCTAACCCAGAAGTGGCCCAACCCACAGTGCCAGTAAACGCCCGCGTAACCAGAGTTCAGAACCCACGCTCCGTACACGAGTCACGGCCTCCGCGGCCCTGGGTCCTCACCCGACCCCGACGTTTAGAGTTTGGGTTGCGCTGAGAGGCCAGGGCTCCCCGGGGGACCCTGGAAAGGGCTTGAGCTCTGGAGAGCTGGGGCTTAGGGGTGCCTCCCCCAGCCACATGCTGGCCACGAGCCTGTGCCCCCCAGACTACCCTGCAGGAAGCCTGGCTCACCCAGGGTCCCCCAGGCACCCCCACCCTGCTGCACCGACTCAGTGCCCTCGTGCCCTGCATGGCAGGGACACAGGGCAGACCTGTTTCTCGAAGCCACAGGATGCCTTCGTTGGCAAACCTCACTCCTTAGTCCCCGGCTTGGGGTCCTCAAGCCGCAGGACCTGCTAGTGCACAGCCGCCTCTGAGGGCCACCTCTCGCCTTCACTCGGGTCAACCTTGCAGAGCGATGGGACAGCCCGGCCGGCCTGCCCCCCACCTCCTTTCAGGCAGGATCCCCCCGGCAGAGCCTCCTCTTCGTCACTGCCACCTTGGTGCCTGCTCTGCAGACGGCCTGAACCAAAGCCGCCCCCTTCGGCGCATGATCGGTGGTTTTGCTCACAACTGCTGGTCTTCACGTTGCCGTGGTCCTTGTAGTTCTCACCGTAGCGTTGGGAGGCGTCCTCTGCAGCATGATCGGGCTGTGGGGACAAAATTCCCCTCCTTTGGCGATGCTGAGAGGCCTTTATGAATCAGGAAAATCAGATACCACAGCCTGAAGTATGACTCAAACATTGTCATTCTTGATGAGCAGGAGACGGGGTCGAAAATGAACTTCTACCCACAGAATCCTTCAGCTTTTGGGGAGAATATATTCTTATTCTGGGCACAAAGGAAAAGATACCCCGATGGTTGGAAAGCAAACTAGTGAAATCTTGTGATTATGATAAGAATGGGTGAGTGCTTTCTCTAGAAACCGTAATGCCGTAGTTTACAGGTTGAGATATTTTAATAACTTTCCTACCAGACCCTATTTGCCTTGATCTCTCTGTTCTTCCTGGGGCCAGTGAACAAACAAGCAAAACCAGAGACAAACCTGTCATGAAACCTGAAAAGCCATCAGGATATTTGGAAATACAGAGAGAAAGGTGTTCTGGTCTAGCGCCTTGTACTCTAAAACTCTGTGTAGGTAGCATTGCATTCGCGTGAGCCTTCAGTGTAGAAGAAACAGACCATTTACCTTTCATTTTATGACGTAGGGTTTTACTATGAAAACTAACCTACAAAAAAAAAAAAAAAGAAAGAAAGAAAGAAAAAAAAAAAAAGAAAACTAACCTACCGTCTCCAGAGCAGTTGTTACCTTGATGCTGTTTACTCTGCGTCTTAGATGGTTATTTAGAGCCAAACAAAGGTTTCGACCCCCTAACTTCGTTTTCTTAAAGACGAAGTAAACGTAGAAATGTTAACAGTGTCGGGTTTTAATGCGTACCTTATGGGACTTCTGTAGTCAAACATCAGCTCTTTTAAATGCTCAACGCGTAGAAGCTTCGCGATCTTCTGACTCTGCTCACTGGGCCTGTGTGGACTCCGAGCCATTTGGCAGCATTAGCCGCACAGCCAGATGGGGCTTGGCCTGGGGTTGGCCTCCTAACCTGAGCCCGCCCTTCTTCTGGTCTCTTGCAGCTCTCTGTGACATGCACCCCATGAGGGCCCTCTTCCTCATCCCCCGGAACCCAGCGCCTCGCCTGAAGTCCAAGAAGTGGTGAGTTTGGTCTTCGGTGTTTTATGGATCAGAGGGCCGGGTTTTCCTGCGATGCTCTCTTGGACGTGCTCAAATCCGTAGGTCCAGCTGCATGATTAGACCAACAGATACTGAGCCTTGGGGAGTGATTTCCCATCTGCCGTCACTCATCTTAGAGCAAACCTTCAGTACTGACTATTTGCACAGCGGGTCTTTATCACTCCACCTTCAAGGTGAGGAGCGATTAGCTAAGGGAGTAGTGGAACCCAAGTAACAACGTGCAAGCTCTTTGATTTATCACCCTCCCAAGAAATCTCTTTCCTGGCATCTCATCAGAGACGGTGACGATTCCAAGAGTCAGCTGGCTAGGTTGGCTGGCATTTCTTCGACTCCTGAAGATGGTAATCCTGTGAGTGCGTACACACACCGGTAGTATGAGGGATGATCTCACTGGCCTGTGCGTAAATATTTGTAATATTGGTTTTTACTACTGCTTCCCCTTAAGACACGTGGTATTGGCTTCTTATTTGGGGCGGTGATAAAATTTCCCATTTAACAAACCTATTCGCATAAAAAAATTGACCTGATGTAAAAAAAAACAAAAAACAAGTAGATACTAGTCTGGACGATGTAAGAGTCTGGTTAAAAATTGTGTTGGTCGTGGGGCACCTGGGTGGCTCATACAGGTAAGCATCCGACCCTTGACCTCAGCTCAGGTCTTGATCTCACTGTCGTGGGTTCAAGCCCCATGCTGGGCTCCAGGGGAGGCGTGGAGCCTACTTAAAAAACAAACAAACAAACAAAAAACTGTGTTGGTAGTACACGACTGGCTCAAGTTTGGGAAATATAATTCTGTAGGTGAGACCAGAGGGTCGACTTTTGAGTTTTGTGTGTACTTAGATCAGGGTCTTTGTAGCTTATCATTGCCTGACAAAAATTCATTGTTCCTTTCTTCCCCCTGTGTATATGGGACATCCGGACTCATTCCAGCACATTCTTGAGTCTCTGACTCCCCATGCCCGGGGCCAACACCTGGACCACTTACGACCCCCTATCTTTTTCTAGAGACATATTCTGGGCAAGTCAGAGCATGAAGGTTCAAGACCTTCCGGCCCCTTTTCATACTTCAAGGTCACTTCATGGTCACCCTCGCCTGGGACCCCTCTCACCCACAGCTTCCCCCTCCACCACGCAGAGCACCGTCTTAGTTCATACCAGTCACCTAGTAATGACACAGCCACCCGGGTGTGACAGGAGAAAGGCATACTGCACCGAGAAGAGAAGGAAACAGCCGGGGGGACCGACGGCCCCGAGTTGCCAAGGCCTGCAGAGGAAGAGCTTGAGAGTTGCTATTGGCAACAAGGGGGAAGGTGGCTCCTCCTCCTCACTCTGGAGGGTCACTGTGCGAGACGTCGTTCTCTCCCCAGCAACAGCCTGCCATTGGGTACGTGTACGGCACATGAGCAGCAGGCCCTGCTTCCTCTCTTCTCCCTGCAACAGACTCCCCGGGAAAGAATTCGGATCACCTCCCTCCCAGGAAGCATCAGTGGCACCACAGAGCCCTCTGCTAGCTTTCTGCTCGTCCTCCGTGCCAAGCCTCCCTGTCCCCCGCACCCCCCCCGCCCACATGCACCCCATATACTGTATACAGTGGGCTTTCCTGACCCTGTGCCCTCCCTCCCTCCCTTCCTGCTCCTTGCACTGCTGCTGGACAGCTGTTTCCAGCCTTGGACCCACAGAGGACACCCTGGCCACCCACACAGGTGTTATGGTTGGTCAGCACAGTGGGGCTGTTTCAGAAACACTTGAATTAATCGCCAACTTTTAAAAATCTGGTGGTGGAGCATTATATTGAGATTTCTGGCCTTTTGTGCCAAGGTGTGGCACTACTGCCTGGCCGAGTGGCTCCAGCTCCTCTTGGGTGCCAGCTTGTCCTTCCACCCATCGCCACCTCTCTCCAACTCAGAAGCCGGGGGTGCCTGGTCCTTGCATATGTCCTATTTCTCTCTTCTCCCAGGCCTGCACTGCCCTTTGGCCAACCTCTCTGTCCCCTTAGAAAAGCAAAGTGATGGGGATCCCTGGGTGGCGCAGCGGTTTGGCGCCTGCCTTTGGCCCAGGGCGCGATCCTGGAGACCCGGGATCGAATCCCACGTCGGGCTCCCGGTGCATGGAGCCTGCTTCTCCCTCTGCCTGTGTCTCTGCCTCTCTCTCTCTCTCTCTCTCTGTGACTATCATAAATAAATAAAAATTAAAAAAAAATTTTTTTTTGAAAAGCAAAGTGAGTGAACAGGCCCTGCACTACAGTTTTAGTTTTTGTTGACCCTGCTCCAAGAAAGGTCAACTCTGCCCTGACCTTGTTTGAGAAATGCAGGCTTGGAGGAAACTACAGGCTGACTTTGCTGCTTCAAACCTTTGACCACCAGAACTAATCCTGGTGGTGCTTCCGGGGCTGGGTCCGTCCAGGGACAGTGAGGAGACCAGGCCTCCATCTCACCTGGCCTCCCTGACTCCGAAGGAAAGCCCCTTAGGTTGTGAGCACCACACTGCCCGACAGAGAAGGGGAGATGGCTTGGCTGTTCGGGTGTGCGTGGGCAATCAGGAGCCCTGGCGAAGGACTCTTTCTCACTCAGAACCCCGCCTTTATAACATGGCCATGCAGTCCCCGAGCCATAGTACACGGGATGTGGCTCCCGATCCTCTGCAATAGAATCCTACTTTTTAAGCAAAAATATTTTAATCCTACTTTTTAAGTGAAAATAAGCCACAGAGTACTTTCTTGAATGACCAAGTCCGGAGTGATTTGCAATAAGTTAGGGTTTGGGGATCCCCGGGTGGCTCAGCGGTTTAGTGCCTGCCTTCCGCCCAGGGTGTGATCCTGGGGTCCCGGGATCCAGTCCCATGTTGGGCTCCCTGCATGGAGCCTGCTTCTCCCTCTGCCTCTGTGTGGTGTGTGTGTGTGTGTGGTGTGTGTGTGTGTGTGTCATGAGTAAATAAAAAAAAAGTTAGGGTTTTCCTTTAATATGGGAGGAAGTGAAATATTTTATTTATTTATTTATTTTATTTTTTAAGGGAGAGGATCCCTCTCCCCACCCGTCCAAAGAAACAAAACTCCAAAATGTTCCTTTTATATCCAGCCATATTCTCTGTCTGATGAATTAGCAGGTGAAGTACCCTGTTCTCAGGGTATGTATTGAAGTGCTACCAAAGGGGGGTGCACCGTTGTGGTAAGATGGGCCGGCAACTCTTTAGTACAAGTATGCAGTTGAGGGTCGCTTCCAGCAAACTTACTAAATCTACAACATACAGGACATAGAGGGCATACGCGTGTTGTAGACTCAATAATTTATGTGTGTGTTTGTGTAGAAATTTATATATATATATGCACATACGTACATATTTAATCTTCTATAATTATAATGATTAATCTTATACATAAGATTAAATATATGTAATAAAATGCAATTTAATAAAATTAAAATGTATATTTAGTAAAATTAAATTTAATACAATTACATCTTATTTGTACATATATATAAGATCTATAGATATGTATGTATATGTATATACACATATTTAATCTTAACCACAACCCTGCCAGGCAGATGCTCTGGGTCCTCATTCTGTAGCTAGAAGATCGAAGGTTAGGTGGGTTCTGTTCCTTGCACAAGTCTGTACAATCTTTTCGTTTCCCAGGTTTGTAACCCCCATTCCCTCCACTGTATCATCCGGCCTCTTAAGCTCAAGGTTAGAATGGGATCCTAGTCTCTTAGTTAAACACTTTTTTCCTGTGCCTTAAAACCAGGGAAAGAAAGGCAGGAGAGCTACCCTTCGGCCCTTAGGCTGTGGGAGGACGCGAAGGAAAGCACCCCCACTCTCCAGAACCTGCCCTTTCCTCCCGCATCAGGAGAGGCCTCCGTGCCGAGGAGGTCATGGGGTCAGGGCTCCAGTCAGTGCCCAGCCATTCAATAATTAGGTCTCCGGGAGGATTACAACCTACGCCGAATTAGAGGCCAAGCGCGCTCTCGGCCTCCGTCTCCATGTCACCACAGGCCAAGGCGCAGCCAGTTGTGATGCCCATTTCTTCCTCCCGTCTTAATACATGGTCAGATTCCACCCACATGGTGAACCATCTCCCTCAACCCATTTCCTCTCCTTTCTCTTCCCACTGTGCTCCCCCTGGCTCCCCTGTCCTACTGAGTGCTATGGTTTCCTGTAGCAGTTTCTGGAGAAATACGGGGATGACTTCCTTCCTGTAAAAGATGGTTGGCCTCTTTCCCTTCCCATGCTCCTTAAATGTGGAGATTGCACACAGGCAAAGAAGCACTTGACCAAGATCATTAGAAAAACCTTAAGTGCTTCTCACTGGAAAGAGGCATAAGGTTCCTTGGTCCAAGCTTACTGGTGCTCCAGTTGACGACCAGAGGGCCTGGTGTGGTTAGCTGGCTCCTCCCTGTACAGCCAACCTGGAACCCCCGCCTTCTGCCTTCACCCCAAAACTTTCAGTCACTCCTACTACTTTATGAAACACCAGTTCTGATTCTTGGGTTGTCAGACACTGTTTGTTTGTTTAAGATTGATTTATTCATTTGAGACAGAGCATGAGCCGGAGGGGCAGAGGGCGAGGGAGAGACACTCCTCGCTGAGCTTGGAGCCCGACACGGGGCTCCGTCCCACCACTCTGAGATCACAGGATGAGCTGAAACCACGAGTCCGACGCGCTTAGCCGACTGAGCCACCCAAGCGCTCCAGGCACTTTTGTTTTTTTAAGAAACGACAAAGCTGTGTGTGTGTGAGTGTGCATGTTCTAAGTGAAATAATAATAACAGAAAGCAAATATCAGAAAATACCTCCGATTAACTGAATTTGCTAGCAGTAATGTGACTTGGGACTTTATAAAAATCAAAACAAAAATTGCTGCACAGGTTTTTTTTTTTTTTTTTTTTAATTAACCTTTTTTGCCCGGTCTCCTTGGAGATAATGGTCCCGTTGACTCTTCATGCTAGCGTATCTAATCCAAACATATGTGCAGTAATTCCCTTTTAAGAACACTACACTATTCAGTTCAACAGAAGTTGAATTTCCAATTTCTACCCCCAGACCTAACGGCAGAGAGATACTGCTGCTGCTTGGTGATGGTCACAGGTTGCCAGGACCTTGTCATCATCGTGGGAGTAAAAGTCATAGCAACAGCAAACATACATGCGGTGTCTATGATGTAACGGGCGCCGTGCTCACTATCTTCCATCAGTTCATTGCTTGAATCATCACGACGTTCTTTTGAGATAAATCCTAACAACATCACCATTTGCAGTCAGGGAACTGAGGCACGGAGAAGTTAAAGAACCTGCCCAAAGTCACACCGTTAAGAAGTGATAGAGCCCAGAGTAGAGAAATGGGGTGGTTCTGGGCAAATGCAAATTCTGCAGCTCAAATTGCATTTAGGGAGTCCTGTGATTACCAAAAACTTTTAGCCCGACAGGTTATAATGATTAATGTAATCATATTTCAGGCGTTTTTAATTCCTCTAACACAATTAAATATACAAACAGAAAAACTCTGGGAAGATAAAGTGGTGATGCAGGTATTAGAACCAGGGCCTCAGACTGTAAGCGCCAAACATTAACATTTATCTCTCCAGGCCAACCCTGGGGAAATTAGTATTACTAATCTTAGGCTTTTTTTTTTTTTTTTTGAGACAGAACTAAATTACTGGCAGCAGAGATGCAAACAATAAAGTTATATAAATGTACTTTAAACCCATCAGACCGCTCAGCAAATAGTCAAGTGGTGTTCAACATAGGGGAAGGGATTTTACGTTTAATTAAATGTGTAATTAAGCATATTGATTCTTTGGTCACGCTAACTTAAATAAGAGACAATGAATCTTTTCTTTGCAGATTTGTTTTAAAGTAAGCATTATTTTCTCTTCAAATGGTACCATTTGAAGAAGACATGAGGTACATCGCCAGCTTTGTGGTTCAGCACATTTTTTAAAGATTTTATTTATTTATCATGAGAGAGAGAGAGAGAGAGAGGCAGAGACACAGGCAGAGGGAGAAGCAGCCTCCCTGCGGGAAGCCCAATGTGGGGCTCGATCCCAAGACCCCAGGATCACGCCCTGAGCCAAGGGGAGATGCTCAACCGCTGAGCCACCCAGCTGCCCCGGTTCTGCACATCTTGGCCCGACCTTGGGGCCCGGAGTTACTCTCCTGAATGTCTCCGAGGCTTCCTTCCCAGCAGAAGAGAGAGTGGAAAGAGGAGCCTGTCCTGTGGCTGGTTCTGCTGACCTCTGATCGCGGTCTCCTCCGAGAGACACCACTGACTTTTTTTGGTTGTCAGCACTGGGGAATGGAATGTTCTGTTTATCCAGCCTGGATCTCATTTTTAAATTGGGTGTGATTTATTTATCGCCTTCTAATTAATAGCTGAGCACTTTATAAAAAGAAAGCACTTCCTTCGAGTTGCAAGCAGAAGAAACAGGGCTTTCATTTGCATTTCTCATGAATATTTAACAGCTCCCTGTCTTAATTTGTTTTTGTTTTCATGTTCCTGAGCCTGATCTCCTACCTAGAAGGGTGCCGTGTAGAATGTGTCTATCTCCTCATGCAGGTTACCCTCGTTCTCTTCGGAGTGTTTCTTAGGACAGTTCCATGATGGGTTTTGTTTGTCTGTTTGTGTTTTTGTTTGTTTGAAGCAAAGTCTCCCCTTCGGTCATACCACATTGGCGCCTCCATGGGTTGGTCTGGTGGGCCTGAAGGAGAAGGCATATTCAGTACTATCTCATCTCCAACCCTCCCTCTCTATCCCTCAGAAGCACAGATTTGCAGGCTGCCATTCCCCACACTTGCCCAGCACTCGCCTCCGATAAGCACGCACGCATGCAGCTGTTCCTCGAGCATTGGAGGCTGCAGGTAGCGGCGTGCTCGGGATGCAGAGATAAGTGTGGCACCCCTGATAGAGGGGACACCAGTGCGGGGGCCGTGGGCTGAGGGACATACACGGAGGTGCGTGGGGTGTCCACCCTGCTCTTTCCGTCTTCCACAGTCCACAGGGTAGCTGATCCTGATTGATCCTGGGGGGGGACCCCCAAGCCTAGCAGGGTGCATCTGCTTCGATGTCAAATAATTTAAAAGCTTGAACTGAGCTTAGACATTCATTTAGGGAGGAAGAAATATTCATATTCGGTCCTTTAAACACATGGAATAAGAGGAGACGCTGCGTGGACCTGGGCAGAGGTGGAGAGCGGTGCAGATGCAAGCGCCCTCTTGCATTTGAATCTTGAAGAGCATGTTCACCACGGTGGGTGTGGGCGGGCGTCCCCTGTGGCCAGGGCAGCTTTCCAGCCTGCAGTCTGCGCGTGGAGCCAGCTGGTCGACTCAGGGAGCTTGCCCAGGGATCCGTTCCTGTGACTCCACAGCGCTCCACAGGAGGGCGACGGAGGGCACGGGCTGGATTCCCTCCTGCTCCCAGCAGAGGGGGAACGGCCAAGAGCGTGATCAGAGTTCCCCTGAGGTCTCTGAGGGTGCCGTGCCCAGCTGCCAGGGGAAGCGCATGCTATAGAGTCGTGAAGTAATTATTTATGATGCCGGACAATTTCTTGGAACTCTCAGCAAGAACATGCATTCCCAACTCCTGAGTCACAGCTGACGTCCACCGGTGATTCCTACCACAGTGTGGACTTGCAGCCTACTCCTGGGTATGGTACCTCTCACCAGCTCTCCCCTCCCCTGTGCGTCTTTGGCACAGGGTTTATCTTTGAGGCAATAGTGCCTTCCTAGAGGGAGATAAGTGCATGTGTGGGTATGAACTTAGTCCTTAAGTTTCCGAGTCCTTTGGTTGATAGCGAACATACACATACACCCTGTTCTTAATAATTGGAGTGCAAAGGTCAAAGGGAATTTTGAAATTGCCAGTGGGAAAAAAAAAGTCACCTAATCAAGTTCACTTTACCGAGTAGGAATCTTTCTCATTTCTACAGAATGTCCTCCTCCTTCCCTGGCCAACCTTGATTTTGCTCTCCAGCAGCTTGCATTTTCTGCCTTCTTTAGGCCGCTCACCTCAGTGTGCCCTGGTGTGTAGTGTGCCCAGCCTCAGCCTTAGCTTTTCACTATTTCCTATCTCCCTGAGCTGTCTTCCCAGAATGATTTCCTCTGCACCCTTTCAAGCCCAGCTCAGGTTCCTCATTACACTAGACCTTCCATATGTGGTTCTCACCAAGGCCTTTCTCTTATCTGATTCCTTTTAGTTTCTTGTGTGATATTATTTATAAATCTGGGCAAAAATGCTCTTATGCATGTGACTCCCATACATTGCCTGAATTGTGTGTTGGTGGTAATGATGCCTTTGAACTCCGTTGTGCCTAATAAAATTCTAGGCCTACTCTGTGATCGGTTGATTCCTATGTTGACTAATTGAACCTGCCTTCCTCTTGTTCTCATCATAGTGTTTTAGAAAATGGAAGGTCACTTTTTCATGGGATTGCCTCTTTATCTTTGGATTCATCTCTTTCACTTGGCAGGTCGAAAAAATTCCAGTCATTTATTGAGAGCTGCTTGGTAAAGAATCACAGCCAGCGACCAGCAACAGAACAATTGATGAAGCATCCATTTATACGAGACCAACCTAATGAACGACAGGTTCGCATTCAACTCAAGGACCATATTGACAGAACAAAGAAGAAACGAGGAGAGAAAGGTTAGAAGCACATTTGTAGTTTAGCAAAGGAAACAAAAGATGGAGTGAGTCATGGGCTCGTGATATATTTGGAGGTGGCCGTGGGGCTTTCAAATGGGCCTGCATTATTCTCTAGTGTGAAGGGCTGCCTCTGAGCTCGCAGCCTGTAGGCATCCATGGAGTGAGACTGTGAAATGGAATCTTCATGAAAGGATACAACTGTAAGGAATATCACCTTCTCCAGGCCCTGACAAAGAGTCATGTTGAGGAATACTATGAAGTGGTTTAATATGACAAGTGATTTGCTTAGTTCAAATGAATATTCATGTTTTGAAGACAAAAAATCGACAGGAGACCAAAAAAAAAAAAAAAAGCACTTAGTTGACATTTTTCTAGACTGGCAGGCTTCAAGTTTTTGTGCTCTGAGGCCCATTTGGAATTTATTACAGAAGTCAGATGAATTTTCTAATAGTCACAGAGTTGCCAGACTTGATATACGGAACCCTGTCACTTTGAGCTAGAAGATCATTTCATGCACTTGTTTATTTTGTAGATTCAAAACCCTTATCTCTGGTGGCTGTAGCTGGCTGAGGCACCACACACTGCCTTCTCAGTGCATTAGTGGACAAGAGTTCAAACTTGGAGTCCTGGGACTGTGTCCTGGTTATGGGAGTAGAGACTCAGATTTCCTTACCTAGCATCCTGACCAAGGAGAAAAACTCAGGTGGTCTGGGGCCGGTTTTGTGCCTCGGTGGGTGGGAGGTAAGGAAGATTGAGGTAGGGGGAGGAAAGGGGAAGATCCAGAGGACAGATAGGGTGAGTCTTCCCTGGGTGGAGGCTGGAGGAGCCACGGGGCAGGGGGGAGGAGGGATGACAGTGAAGAGACATTACAGGGCTGGCGAGGTGAGCATGTGGGGTGGGAGTAAAGGGGAAGCCAGACACCTAGGGTGAGAGGCACATGGCCCCGTGCTTTTCCTCGCTTCTGTCCTGGACACCGTTCCTTTCTGTTCTTCCCAAGCCAGATGGAGCATTGGAGGGTGGGGGGCCTCACGGGAAGGAGGGTGCTCTGCTTTCATTTGGCTTCCCCTTCTTTGCCTCTGCAGTTACTGTCTGTAATATGGCAAGGTATGAGCAGGTGTGTGGGGTGGGTGGTGAGCGGTGCAGGAGTCAAAGCCACGCAGAGGTGAGAGCGGTAGGGGGCTGAGGCAAGAGGAGAAGCCCTGAGTGAAGGTTCAAGGGAAGAGTTTCTTTCCCGGCTGCCAGGGAAATGTGCAATCAAGTTCGTCTCAGGAGTAGGAGGTTATAAGGCTAAGCTAGAAAGGAGACCCATCGGGATCCCTGGGTGGCGCAGCGGTTTGGCGCCTGCCTTTGGCCCAGGGCGCGATCCTGGAGACCCGGGATCGAATCCCACGTCAGGCTCCTGGTGCATGGAGCCTGCTTCTCCCTCTGCCTGTGTCTCTGCCTCTCTCTCTCTCTGTATGACTATCGTAAATAAATAAAAAAAAAAAAAAAGAAAGGAGACCCATCACCTGAAATTAATAAAATATTATATTCAACTATCCTGCAATTGTTTTTAAAAAACATACACGGTTAAATGTTTGGGGACCACACTATTTTTTTAAAAGATTTTATTTATTTATTCTTGAGAAACACAGAGAGGCAGAGACACAGGCAGAGGGAGAAGCAGGCTCCCTGTGGGGAGCCGGACATGGGACTCGTTCCCAAGACTCCGGGATCATTCCCTGAGCCGAAGGCAGATGCTCAACCTCTGAGCCACCCAGGCGCTCCCCAGACTATTTTTATTTCCAGTGGTAAATAGGAAATGAAGCTTCATTGCCTATTTTGATCGAACATAAAATTCTTACAGCACTGGAAAATAAATAAATAAAAATCCTGCACAAGAGAAAACAAAAAATAAAAAAGGAGGCCCATCTCCAGTTGTTAGTGGGTGGGGAGGGATGAGGTGTCGGTCAGGAGGAGCTGGGAAGGGAACTGGAGAAATCAGGAGGAACCAGGCATGAGAGAAACAGGTAAGTCAAGATCAAAATGTCCCAGGACTGGGCCAGCTGGGGGGCTCTGTCAACTGAGTGTCTGACTCTTGATTTCAGTTTAGGTCATGATCTCAGGGTCATGAGATCAAGCCCAGTGTCGGGCTCCACACTGAATGCTGAGCGCGGGGTCTGCTTGAGATTCACTCTCTCCCTCCCTCTGCCCCTCCCCAACCCCCTAAAATAATTCCAGGACTGATTTTTCATCAAACATGCAACTATTAAAGGCTGACTTCTTTAAAAGGGAAACTTATTTTCCTGCAGGCCTATTGTTTCCAGATTCAAATTCTGAGTGGAGATTCTAGCTCTAATCCCTGAAGGGTTAGACGACCTTCACCCCAGTTTTCTTATCTTTAAAATAAGAGAGAGGATATAATAGTGACCACTATCACCTGGCATTGTTGCAGATTAAATGAGATAATGCATTAAGATGTTTAGTACAATGTCTGGCGTATAAACATAATAAATATTAGCTACTCTTACATAAACAGTTCTTTACGGAACTATAAGTTTAAAGAACAATTCAGAGTTACCTTCCGGGAACTCGTAACCTCTTTCATTGCCTTTGACCTGTGAGTAGAGTGGGTAAAGCTTGTGCCTTGGGTTGTTTTCACTTCTTGGGGGCTCAGATGCTGGAAGGTGACTCAGAACTCCCCATTCTATGACAATAGATTATTTTTAACGGGTTCCTTCTCTGCAGAGCAGGTGAGTATGATTCTTGGTAGGAGATGTCCTTAGGAGTTACCCAGTAATGTAAGGAACCTAATTCTGTGTAGGTTTAGAGCCGTCAGAAACCTTCTTTTCGGGATCCCTGGGTGGCGCAGCGGTTTAGCGCCTGCCTTTGGCCCAGGGCGCGATCCTGGGGACCCGGGATCGAGTCCCATGTCGGGCTCCCGGTGCATGGAGCCTGCTTCTCCCTCTGCCTATGTCTCTGCCTCTCTCTCTCTCTCTCTGTCTCTCTGTGACTATCGTAAACAAAAAAAAAAGAAAGAAAGAAAGAAAGAAACCTTCTTTTCTGTCTGTTCCCCAGAAAGAGAATCCATCAAATGAGGTCTCATTCCATTTGCTCGGTTTCACCAAATGACTTAATTTACTTCCTCTAAAAATTCCACACTCTCTTAGTAGCTCAAAGACCAGCTTTTGGTACTACCGAACAATTATTCTTTAAAGATTTCATTTATTTATTTCAGAGAGAGAGCATACAAGTAGTGGGGGGGGGTGGGCAGAGAGAGAAGCAGACTCTCCACTGAGCAGGGAGACTGAGGCAGGCTGGATCGCTGGACCATGACATCATGACCTAAGCCAAAAGCAGGAATTTAAGCAACTGAGCCACCCAGGTGCCCCACAAATAAACAACTTTAATGAGAATTCATTATGATTTTTTAACCTGATGTTATTTTTTCCTTACGTTTGTTGACATATGCTAATTTATGCCAGTAACATAAAAGCAATAAGACCAGATTCTGGTGAAGTATTACAATTGAAGGGCCTGACAAATGAAGGTTTTACCTTAGTAGAAATATTTGGATCAATTGTGTGCTGCTTTCCCTTGCTAGAATTTCCTTCGCTAGATAAAATCTCTGCAGCTTCCTTCAAGCTCCCTGTTGACCCATTTCAGGAAAGTTTGGAATAGTAAACTTTCAGTGTGGAATATTGAAACACTTCATGAAGGTCCTTTACATTTCCGGTGCGATAATACTCAAAAAAATAAGTCGTCTGAAAACCGCATACGTGTCTAAATATTTGAAGCTAACTTCTGATTTTAAAAAAATACACTTGAAGTCATGGTGCTTTTGGCTCCTTTTCATTATTCCTTTACTGGCTGAAGAGTCTGGAAGGCAGTGTTTAGTTCTCATCAGATGTGCTGCTTCCTGGTGGTAACACAGCCAAATTGCAGTGTTAATTCCTTTTTCGGAACTAAACCTCCCAAGTTGTAATTACTAACCCACAGCTTTGAAAGGATAATAGTAATGTGACACTCTCCCTCCTTAAAATTAAAAGCTCCTCCAAAATTCACCATTGCCCACAGAGAAGTCCTCAGGAAAAAAAAAAAATATATATATGTATATATATATATTTATACACATGTAAGGATCAAGACGTCCTAGCACATGTGCTGGGCTTACTTATTCCATCTGCTTTCGTCACAGCCACACATCTAGCCACTCACAACTCCTTGTGAACATGTCCTGCATGCCCTGTAATACTAGCAGGCTTCCTCACGTGGTTATGTTGCTTAGAATGCCCTTTGGCCACCGCTTTTAGCTGCCGTCCGCCTAGAACAGGGCCACCGACATTGCAAGGCCCAGCTCATCTCCTCCTCAAGAGACTTTCCTGTCTCCTTCCCCTATTATGACCAATGGACTTTGCGCCTATCTCTGATATCTCATTGCTCTTTTTATGCCCCTCTCTTTAGCGTATATATGTTAGAAAGAACACTAGTTTTAAAGTTGGACAAGTTCTGGATCGAATTCTAAATCCAAATCCCAGATTGATTGACCTTTTATTAATAAGCCATTGGTTCTGTCACTTAACCTCCTGTCATAGTGTCTGCGCTTGAAACGCGGGCAGTATGTTAAAGGATTGTTAAGCAAAACAAATGAGAGAACATAGGTAAAGTATCTAGAAGGGTGACCAGCATGGGAGACACTCAATATGGATTAATTTCTTAAGAATCATGGCGGATCTGATTACCTACTTGTCCACCTTGCCCATTAGATTCTGATCCGCTCCAAAGCAAAGACCCAGTCTTATTCATTACTACATGTTAACCTGCTTTAACATATCACTGGATTAAATGGATGTCCCCAGTGGGTCATTTAACTCCGTATTTCTGATAGCACGTTGTCAGATTTCCTTCTGGTGTTTATCAAGATATCTAAAGACTAATCTGTGGGCACATGTAAGTCTTAATAAAACTCCTGCTTGAGAAATGACTAATAGGACAATGTGTTACTAGTGGGCCGATAAAAGATTGGTTCACGTGGTCCTCTCATGGGAATTAACACAAACTGAGAAGTTATTTTTCAGTTCCTTATCTTGACTTTCATATGAACAGCAGGCATCAGGGACAGATATCTGGAATCAGCTGGGACAGTCTTGGATGTTAAGTCCACGTACTTGAATCCAGGTGGTGGGATCTGTTAGATCACAAGTCAGAAGGCCTGGAGCCTGTCCCAGGTCAGCATTAATGACAATTCTTTGGGCCTCAGATTACATTATATATATATATATGTAAGAAGAGGGTGGGATTGACTGAACTGTAGCGTCCTTTTGTGCACTAACATTCTGTGAGTCTCTCTTTAGATGAGACCGAGTATGAGTACAGCGGAAGTGAGGAAGAAGAGGAGGAGAATGACTCAGGAGAGCCCAGGTAGGAGAGCAAAAGCCAAGTCTTATTTTCACGTTCTGAATTGGGCGTCTGTGAAACTTGCTTCCTTTTGATTTATAGGTTCATTTTTAAGAATCCAGCAAGGTGGTCTTATTTAATTTATTGCCCACGAACCTACTCATTAATTTGGGAAAATGTCCCCAGGCAGACTCTTACAAAAACGTGGAAATCAGCGTATTCTTTATCTTGTCCCCTAAGATTTATGGTCTCTATTCTAAGACTCTGTTTCCTCACATATGTAACGTGTAGAATGGGTAGGAGGCAATTATCTGAGTAATCCAAGGCTCAAAGTGCCTAAAACTGCGACTTTCAGGAGACCTAAGTGGTATCTTTGGACTTGACACATTCAGTTTGTTACTTCATACCTTTGAGAAGCCCATTTCAGCACCCACTGTCCTTGTCACCTGTCTTGGTATTTTCACCACAAGCTAATCCAAGAGGAAATGATTCCCAGGAAACCAAATCACACTCTGGAGGGGAACCCAAGATAGAAAATTACATGCTTATTCCAGTTGTCACATGTTGGACCCCAGGATCAGTGTTGCTTTATCATTATCATCCATGCATTTTGAATTTCACTTGACATTGATCGCAACTTTCTTCCAGTGTGCGTATGAATGATTAAGGTGAGGGTGCTCACATTTCAAGGATTTGTCTTCCGTGAGAGAATTCAGCTGGTGGCAGTTCAGCGAATTGAGGGTACGGGCACATACACCGTAGTCAGAAAAATTTATTGGGGAAAATGCACAAGCAGAAGGCTCAGTGGGGTATATTGGTCTCCGTCCTCTAGCCATCCAAGGAGGGACTCCTGTGGTCCCATGCTGCTCAGGAAAGGGGCCAGCTCGGCCACTGCTGCTAGAACAAGCCAGTGGCTTCTTTCTTTTGAGTTAACTCAGCTCTACCCAGCTGGATTATTGCTAAACTGATGGAAGAGGGAGGGACTTAGAGGGCCATCCAGTTTTTCTCTTCACCTACTAAAGGAATTTTCAAAGTCAAAGATTGAAGAATTTTTCCTTCCATCCAATACTCTACACATTGGCTACCCCCAGTTTAGATGACGTTTGTCAAATAGTGACATGGAAAATGAACGTTCTTGTAAAGGCGAAGAACCGAACGCCCTGCTTTTCAGAGAAGTTGCGTACTATTTTTATGTTTCCCAAACTCACCCGGATGTCACGTCAGGACTACTGACCATTCTCTATAGAACTGAAAAGCCCTGTTTTAACTCGTACTCGCTAACCCGTGTGCTAGGAGTCCCGTAGCGGGCTGACCTAGCCGTGCCTCAGCACTTCAATGTGTCATCATATCACATTGAGGATTCTGTTCCAAGTCCTGTTTTATGGACACAAGTAATCAATCTTCATGCAATCCTGAAAAGTAGAAAGGGACAGTGGTTATCTCATTTTAGAAATGAGGTAAGAGCTCAGAGGTGGCACCCAGGCCACACACCAAGTCAATGACTGAGCCACTACTACGGCTCAGCTCGCCTGACAAAGATTCAACCTCAGTTTGTATTCATGGAGCATCCTCGTGTGCATGGTGAGCCCGGGTTCCCCACGTCCTGCCGCCTTTGCCCAGGGCTGGTGGCCTGGGTACGTACGCACTGTCGCTCGGGATTTGGTTTAGCGCTCTACACAAAAGCTGGAAGTTTTAAAGGAGGTTTGTTACTGGAATGCAGGCACTGTCTGTAGGGCATTATGAACGAAGCCCTTTTCATGTCATTTTTGGGCATAGATGGCAGTCACACAGCGCAGCAGTTACACTGTCCAACACAGCATGATCCCCTCATCAGCTGCCACCAAACCTGTTCCCCCTGACCATTCGCCACCCCAGTTTGCGTCACCACCACTGTCCGGGTGCCAGGATGAAACCTGCAAGTCATCGCTCACTCTCCACACCAGATCCATCAACAGGCTTCAGGTGGCCTTGCTTGACCTCCTGCCCCCTGCAGACAGTCATCCACGCAGCAGCCCAACAAATCCCATCACGTCCCTCTCCTGACGATAACCTCTCCGTGCACGGCTTCCATGCTACGTGCCTTACCAGCTCCTGTCTCCTTCACTCTGCTCTGGGAAGTCCTCATAGAGGTCCCACCTGTCCCTACCACTGGCTTCCCCATTTCTTCCTTCTGGAAAGGTTCTTTCCCTACCTCTTCATGGGACTGACTCTCCATCTTTTGAGTCTTAGCCTTTTTAGAGGGGTCTCCTCCGATCACCCCCTCTGAAGCAGAGCCCTTCGCCCCCGTCCCAGCCTCCCGCCACTGTACTCTTAAACTGTTACATCTTTTGTCTTCTCTGGAGCCTGTTCATATGGGGAATTATGCTATTTGTAGTCACTTGTCTAATTATTTGTCTCTCTTCCCCACAAGAAGGTAACTAGAGGGAGAATTTGTTTAGCTACTGCCCATGTCCACGAGAGCCTATTACCGTGCCTGCTGCATACAAATGGCTCACCAGTTATTTAACGGGTTTCGGGTGGAAGCTGCCAGAAAGATTAAAAGAGCTAGGTTTGCATGAACAAATGGGAGCCCTGCCTACCCCCCCTTCCCCGTTAGGCTGCCACACCCAACCAAAGAGCCCAACTTTGAGCTGTTCACCTGCAGTTAGATGTGAATAGGGCGGCCCTAGACCACTGGGGAAGTAGGTGCTGTTCCTTTATGATGTTTTCTGTCCTCTTTTTCTTTCTGTCTCACACACACACACATGCACACAGACACACACGCACATCTATGCACAATTACCATTTTACAGATGAGAAGACTGAGGCCCGTGGTGCTTAACTGGGATCTAGAAATCAGGGAGCTGGGTTGAAGTCCTAGCTACACCATGTGTTCCAGAGCCAAACCATTCCCTGCTCTCTAAGCATGGGGCAGAGAGACAGCCCTGGCTCTCAGACGCCAGCCGGCGTGGGTTCGTGCTCCACTCTGGGGTTGGCCTGGACTCAGAGGTCCACCCTCCCTAGCTTATTGCATCTTCCCATGAGCAGCCTGCCTTGGCCTCCTGGGGTTTGGTGCAAGGAGTCCCCGGGGTGAGGATGCACCCCTAGTAGAGCAGGTTCCCTTACTGCTCCCCATGGTTCATTTTTTCATTCGCCAACTCTGTTCATGCCTTTCCTGAGCATGAGAACCTGCAGCTCCGGCCCCGGGGGCTCACTCCCTCGCCTACAGAAGCAGATCTGTGCGGGTCACAGGGTGAGGGAGCCTGTGCATAGTGCTGGAGGCAGGTGGTGACCCCGGGAAGGGCCGGTGACTGCAGGTGCATGCCCTAGTCACCCGGCCGAGGCGGCGAGCCCTGGTCCAGGGTTCCGGGGACTCGGGGACTCCGGGGCGGTCACCAGCGGTGCTCGTGGGGCGGGGGGCGGCCCGGCCGGCGCAGGATCCCCAAGTGTGTCCCCGCCCGCAGCTCCATTCTGAACCTGCCCGGGGAGTCCACGCTGCGCCGCGACTTCCTGCGGCTGCAACTGGCCAACAAGGAGCGTTCGGAGGCGCTGCGGCGGCAGCAGCTGGAGCAGCAGCAGCGCGAGAACGAGGAGCACAAGCGGCAGCTGCTGGCCGAGCGCCAGAAGCGCATCGAGGAGCAGAAGGAGCAGCGGCGGCGGCTGGAGGAGGTGAGGTCCGCGGGGTCCCACCCTGGGCCCCCCGGGATGCCGGGTCCCACCCTGGGCGCCGCCGTGACCCCGGGGTGCACACTGTCACCTGCAGAGGGGGTGAGGCCAGCCTGCTCTGACAAGCCGAGGACTCCCCTTGCTGGGGCGGGGACATGTGTGACCTGGTGGTCGCGCAGCCTTGCTGTGGTGGCCTCAGGGCAGGTGAAGGCTGGGCCCCCTCCAGGCAGCCCCCGACCCCCAGACCTAACATCGGCCCCCTCCTGGCCTCCTGCCTCCTTCCCGAGTCCCGCCCGCACTTGTCACCCTCGCGTCTCCCACGGACCGTAAGGCCATAAGGCCGAGCCCGAGGATGGGAGGTGGGGCCGTGTCCCCCCGGCCCCCCGGAGGCCGCCGTCGGGCGGGCGTGAACTAATGCAGTGACCGGAGGTGACAGCCAGTGACCGAGTGTCCCGTGTGGACACACGGGGCCTGCCGAGCCGTCCCGCGGCTTCCCGGGTCCCTGTGCACGCCGTCGGCATCCCGGCGGGTCCCCAGCGCCAGGGCCACCCTCGCCTTCCCCAGCGGCATCGCTGGCACCTGTGTGGGAAACGGCACCCCGCCCCGCCAGCCTTTCCCCTGTGTTTGGTTTAAAACCCCTTTCCTCTGTCCGATAAATCAAAGCCTCTAGACGATTCGGAGGCTGAGAGCCTGGGCTGGTGGGAAAGGGGGCCGGGAGATGAAGGTAAGCAGCCGCCGGGCAGTGGGGTGACAGCTGCCCCAGCCGCCCCCTGCTTCGGAGCGGTGGCCGGTGGCCAGGCGGGAGGTGCTGCGCCTCGGCCCCAGTGTTCCTGGCTCAGATCAGCGAGGGCCTCAAAAAGAAAGAAAATCAAAAAGCTAAAAAGTAATCAAATCCGTGAGGGCCTCAGTTCCGGCTCGCAGGAAAACCCCATCGACCTCACACATCCGCATACGCAGGCCGGCGACAGCAATGTCCCAGGTGCGTGCGACCAGGCAGCGACTTCTGTGTGCCGGCTCGCGGTGAGGTCCTCGGCTCCGTCCCGGATCTCAGCGGCTGTCGTTCCGTCTTTGCGAGCGTCCCTTGCCCCTCGGGCAGAGATGCACACGGAGGAAACCGAAATGCAGGGAGGGCAGGTCGTCGGTCCCGAGTCACAGGGCCAGCGAGTGCGCAGGGCTCACACCCAGGTGTGTCCGAGCTCAACGTCCACACGAGCCCAGGACGGGAAGTATAGATAAGTCACCGAAGCCTTGAGCTGCGAGCCTCAGACCTGGACCCTGCAGGCTTCTGCGGGCAGCAGTGGGCACGCGAAGCACCTTCGGATGTAAGTGCAAGTCCGCGTATGGTCAGTGCGAGGAATGTGCGGCGCTCGAGACGTGCACCGTCCCCCTCTCCTGTGCGAAGAATCAGGCTGTAGACGGAGCCACCGTAGCGCGGGGGGCAGAGGGCTTCGAGGGGTCGGCGGCGCCTTCTTTTCTCTTTCTCTCTCTCTCTCTCTCTTTTTTTTTTTTTTTTTTTTTTGATTTTAACATGGGAACTTTTGGCCCTTGAGCCTAGATCCTCAGTTGATGCAAAGCCTTTCAAAGGATGCGTGGTATTATTTTGTTTTGTTTCGATCTCTATTTTCTTTCCTTCTTACCTGGCATGACTTATTTGAGCTTCCTATTTTTTTTTTCATGAGTTGCTAAAATCACATTTTCTAACACTTCCCAAAGCATTTGCCCTTTGACAGTTACTCTGTTCCACACTTTACCTGAATCGTCTCGCCGAATCGTCACAGTAACCCACAGTCTCAGAATAATGCAGCTGAGTCTGAGAGGTTAATAACTTGCCACAGGTCACACAGCTTAGGCAAAAAAAAAAAAAAAAAAAAACAACCAGGTTTCGAGCCCAGGGGATAGGATTCCAGAGCCCGGGTGCTGTCACTGCCTCTCGGCTGATAAGCCAGTCATGTTTACCCATATTCTGTACCCGGCCTCCGCTTCCGTAGTCTTTTTTCTTTGAGAACTTAAGGAGTTTTGAGCCAGGGCAAGGAGCTGCACCCAGCAGGTGCTCTTCTTTGCGATGGGTTCTGGTTCTCATGCTCCCCGTCAGAGCTAACAGCCGAGGCCTCCTCGTGACCCTTCTTTTGTGGCACTTTCTGGAGCCTCTGTCTTGGAGGCAAGTCAGAGTTCAGACCCAGCAGGGTACATGCACCCACGGGGACAGACCCGCTAAGTCCCCACTTGCACCAAAGGCAACAGTGGGCCCAAGGACCCTTTGCTTTACGCACCACAGTGCGTGAGTCCTGGCTTCTCCGGGAACACTTGTAACCGCGGGGCATTAAGAGATTATGGTGGCTTTATCCATTAATCCTTTATCTTGCTCCTATTGCTCAACAGGAAGACGAAGAGATATTCCATACTCAAATGGTTGTAAATTCTGAACCCAGACATAACAATTGTCTCTGCCACCAGGGACTCCTCTCCTGCATCCTGCCCCTGCTGCCCCGGCCATGGTGATGACCTTGTGTTTCCAGAGTAGGAGCTTGGACTACGCTGGCACACGGAGGCACTTAAAGCCCACAGTTAGACTCGCGCATTTAGCTTCAGTGTGGGTCAGGTGGGCTTTTGTAGGCGTCCTGGGAAAAATCATTCCCATTCTCAAATGCCCATCAGATGCCCCTTTGGTGACACAGGGCTAGGTAAGCTGTGGCCTTTGTCTTCCCCAGCCGTCTCAGATGTCACCTCCTACCAGAGCTGTGGTTTCTAAGGAAGCCCTCCCTGCGCGTCCTTTGCTATTTATGGATAACCATGTGGATTTGGGTAGTTCTAAATCTGCATATACTTAGAAGGACTTTGTACACTGGCTGTAGTCCTTTATCAGCTTCATGAAAAGGACATGGCTTTGGACCAATGAAATGTCGGGTACAAGGCTTTCAGCTTTTGACCAGTGATAAAGTACGATTTATAACTAAGTTCCAGGAAATTGATTAAACGTAGCTAAGGTGAAATGAGTCCCTCAATAGTGAGAAAAGTACAAAGAAGGCCTCTTTTATTGTTGTTTAGTTCAATAAAAATTCCTACCGCTTGGCCTAGGAAAGTCCCTCGTGTTTATTCTCCATCACGGATGGAGGATCCCAGAATCAGGGGCAGGATGCAGGAGAGGAGTCCAAGAATCAGTAAGGCACTTACCCTGGTCATCTTTTCAGACAGACGAACCTCGGCCAAAAGATTTGTGGTGATGCTTAACTGTGCTCAAGAGTTTTGGAATGATTTCAGGGATTTATCTTTTTTTTTTTTTTTCAACTCGCTGAGAGCATTCTCTATGCCTTCATTTGGAGGAGAATATCTTTAAGTCACAGGAATAATCGCCTTGACCCCAGGGGCACCAAACTGCTCAATGGTGGTAAGTTTTATTCTTCAGAGAATTGTGTTAAGTTTTCCAAGACACCTGCATCTCACTTAGTGCCTTCAAGACCATCAGAACACCGCTCGTTATAGAAACAGCCAATTCTAGCTAAGAGATATTATACTGTTTTGGTTCTATTGCCTGAAAATAAAATTTCTTTTAAAGATTTTATTTATTTATTCATGAGAGACACACAGAGAGAGGCAGAGACACAGGCAGAGGGAGACGCGGGCTCCCTGCCGTGAGCCTCATGTAGGACTCGATCCCGGGATCACGACCTGAGCTGAAGGCAGACCCTCAACTGCTAAGCCACCCAGGTGCCCCGAAATTTTTTGTAAAGAAATACCACCAGCATCTTTTTGGCCGGGCATAGCGGAGCCCTGATATAAAAAATGAGAGCGTGGCCGTCTCACTGTGTGTGAATTCCCTAGAGCCTCTAACTTCTCATTGCGAGCTTCTTATTTCAAGGACATTGGGTTCAACTGTTTTTCTAAAAAGGGCACAGTAGAATTAAAAACTTTTTCCTAGTCCCATAGGCAGCCATTCAACGAATTTCGTGAATTCATCCCTCTGCTATGCTGGACGCCAGGAACATAGTCTGCCCGGGTGCTCACCAGATCTGGGAGGGAAACAGGCATTGGGCAAATAGCCACCCAAATAGCCATTCATTATCATGGCCAGGTGCCGCGGTAGGGAGGAATGGGGGGCTAAGGAAGAGGGGTGCAGGGATGGGGAAGCAGCCCAGCCTGGCCGGGAGGACGACTGGGAGGGAGGGGCCCGCGGAGATGGTAAGCGGGGAAGCCAAGTCCCAGTCCTGTAGGACTTCACAGGCCAAGTTCAAGATTCTTACATTTAATCCCAAAAATAGTGGGGAACCGTTGATGTGTGTTATTCAAGGGAATGCAATCGGATCTGCATTTTTCAAAGGAAACTTTGGCTGCTGCAAGGTTCAGTGACTGGAAGAAGCAAGGGTGGGTGAGGAGGCCGAGTCAGTGTAGGCCAGGGAGGGTGACGTTCTTGTGGGTGGGGGGCAGCGGGGTGTGAGAGAAGGGGACACATTTGGAAGGGATGCAGACTGGGCGGGAGACAGCTGACTAGATGTCACAGAGGGAAGAGAGAAAGCGGTCACAGGACGTCCCCAGTGCGGACTGGAGCAGTGGAGGACCAGGTGTGGGAGCAGAAGGACCAGATCCGTCTGGAACGCGGTGAATTTAAGGTGCCTCTGAGGTGGCCAGTGGTGAAGCCAAGGGTGCAGGTGGATTATATGGAGAGAGCCAGGCAAGGGAGGTGGGGGAGGCGAAACAAGGGGAATTGCTGGCCTTGGGCTCTGGGAGTGGGCCCCGACACGAGGGGAGAGCGTGGGCCTGACCCCTGAGACCGCAGAGCCGGAGAGGGGAGGCCAGCAGAGAAGGCTGATAAGGGGCCAGAGGAGAACTGGCGCGAAGGCAGAGAAGCTCCCAGCACAGGCACGAGCTAAGGGCCCAGCTTCACAGCCCGCTGCCAGAGGTCGAGGGAGGTGACCAGGTCACGGGTTTCAGTGGCAAAGAGGTTATGTAAAAAGGTCGTTTTGACATCGTCAGTCGGACTCTCTAAAAGTGCGTTCATTTCCTGTTTG